AGTTCTCCAGCAGACACCAACTGAGTGACTTAGATTCAATTCAGTGCTGACACCATCCACCAGGGAGTAGCGTCAGATTCCCAAGTTCCAGGCTTAGCCCCACAAGCCTGCCTTCACATTAGGTGCCCAAGTACACTGTACCTATACTTCTGACCAACTACCTATCAACTGCACTCTCACTGTCTTCTTTTTGAGTTTGATTACTTTGCTTGGGCAGCTCACAAGACTCAGGGGGGACACTTGCACTTACTGGTGTATCATAAAGGATATTACAAAAGATACGGATAAATAGCCAGATGCAAGGATGAGTAAGGCAAAGTTCAAGGAAAAGGGGTGCAGAGATTGCATGCCCTCGTGAGGGTACCACCCTCCACTTGCCCAAGTATTCAGCAGCCCCTGAGCTCATCAACCCTTGCTGTTCGGGAATTTTCATGAGCTTGATCTCCAACCCCACCGCTCGCCCTCTTCCTGGGGATTTGTGGTGGGGCTGGAAGTTCTAATCCTCTAATCACAGTGTCTCTCTGGTGACTGGCCTCACTCTAAGACACCCTCATTTGTGTAAATTCAGGTGTTAGGAAAGGTACTTATTAAGAATTATGAAACACATTCCTTCCACTCTGGAACTTGCAACTGCCTATGACAGGAATTTGGACAGAGGTCAAATGCGTGTCCTATTCTGCATATCTTTCAGGCTTCTGTCTATGAGGGCCTTCACTGCCACAGTGAAAAGTCTGACTAAAAGGCTGACTACTCAACACCGAAATGTTTGCTCTTAGCTGAAATCAGAGTAAAACGACTTCTTCTGCCTTTTAATCCACTTACTACTGAAATAGAAAAGAACATAGCTTGGAGTAAAACGTTCAAATAAGCCAAGAGAGGCCACTAGCGGAGGTCAAGGCAAGCTGGTGCTGCAGGAAGGCACGGCATGGGGCGAGGGTTCCCCGCCCTCCCTCCCCACGATTCCAGTGCGGCCACGTCAGGTCTGGACGGCGGTCCCACCAGTTTCTAGGAAGCTGTTACATTTTGGCTGTGATTTCCTCTTGCCTAAGATGAAGTTGCAGTCACAGCTTCCCTTGCTCCATACACAAAAGCTAATTTGAAATAACAAACTACTACCGTAGCCTACCATCTAGAAGAAGGCATCTTCATGACCCAGCGACTAGCAAATATTGCCCTGAAATGACAAAAGGGACTGACCTTCAAAGAAAAACCATGATAAATTGTGTTTCGATAAAGAACCCCATGTGAAGCACCAGGCTCTGCAGGGCTGACCCGCATGGGAAGGTTCAGGGTTCGTGTCCAGAGACCTCTGTGAGTGTGCCAGCACACACGTGCCCAGCACCCATGGCTGATGCTAGGGATGAGTTGCAGTGTGATGACCTTGTTAAAAGTGCTGTCTTCCTTTGTCTCTCCTTCTCAAGGAAGAAATCAATAAACTCAATTCCTTTCCTCTATCTCCCCTTCTAATCAGGATTTGGGGCATATGCACATGTCTGGCATGTTTTTAAGCCACCAGTGGCCCGGATTCCAACTATAGCAAGCCGTGTGGATCCAGCTTTGTTAACCCCTAGGCTATGGGCTAGCCTGAATAGGATCTTTAAGACTGCACCTGCTGTAGACAATATAGAAAGAAACCAAAGGTAGGATAGCCACCACACTTCATAAATGTGGCCACAAATAATATTCCTCTAATTAAAGCAGATAGAATTGGGGTTACCTGTTCCTTCCATGTCCTGGGTTTATTCCCTTCTAGAACCAGGACTGGCTTCCTGCCTTTCGCTCCAAATTCTGCTCCTTCCTGCTACCGGCTGCTGCAAATCCCAATCATGGTGACCCTTCCTCTTCCTGGAGTTCTGCTTCCTAGTTCTTCAGACAAGGAGCAATGGCTTTACACACAGAAGCCCACCCCTTGCTGAAGGTTTTGCGTACTGGGCCTGCCCCTTCTACTGGGCCTGCCCCTTCGCACTGAGCCTGCCCCTTCACAGGGGCAAGACTCAGCCAGTCTTTGTAATCTCATTAAAAGAAAAAAAGAAAAAAAGACATCCAGATTCAGATCTTTCTGAAACACAAATGGTTAGTGAGGCAAACAAATCAGAACCACTGTTCTCTGGATGTCATTACTAAAGTAAACTGGTTTCTCTTGAATTTTGCAATAAGTGACATAGACTCTCAGAAACTATCACTGAATTCAAAATCCTTTGTGTCAAATCCCCACCCTCACTCCTGGAAAAAAAAAAGGGAAAAAAATCTTGCTGAATTAAGGCATTCCACGCAACTTCAAAAGGTGTGAACTAGGCCAGGTAATCAGTACAAAGGCCAGAAGAGTTCTGCTTTTGGTCAAAACTATTGCAAGAGGCCTCACCTTATAGTGCAATGGCTAAGCACAGTGGAGGGAACCGGATTCTGCATGCCCAACCACAATTAGAATCCTGGCCCTGCGGATTAGAAGATGGGATAGAGAAATGGAGGAAAACATTGCGGTGTGATCATGCCCCGTTCTCTCTTTCACAAATGCACATTCCCTCTGACAAGAGAAAAAATCAGAAGAGTAGAAAAAGTGATCTTTAAAATGCACACTTCATATCCTATTTTATTATATAAGTATCATTTCTTTTCACTTGTATGAGGCATTTGCTGATAAATTAATCGTACCTCCCCAAGTCGTGTTTACTCTCAGCACGCTTTGTTAGATGCAGCAGGAAGACGATGCCTAACATAACCACAAAACTGTGGTGGACGGTTTAGGTAGAAAGCCAGCTGACCAAGCCTAGTCATTGAAACGGGATGCAGGTCTCGGATGCATGAGTGGAGATGAGGGCACAAGGACAAATTTGTGCCTCAAGGAAAACCTGAAATGTTGAGCTATTTACAATTGGAATTGTCACAACTGACAGCAATGGGAAATCATTCTTGTCTATAAGCAGGCTATTAAGCTTTATCCAGGGAAAGGACAATGTTCTTCCTCCCTCCCCCATGTGAAACCAGCTTCGCTATTCATGGTCTACGCTTCACTGCTCAGTATTTCTGATCCAGGAAGGTGTCCATTCTTTGGGTTCTCCTTTGATCTGGTTGTGACAGCCTTACCAGTTTCCTCATTGCTGAGTAAAAGAAGTCCTTTAACGGTGTTTATTTTTATATCTGAGTGAGATTCATGACTTGATCCTTTCCCAAATATTATCTTTTAATTCTATTAATAGTTACTCTTCACTCTGTCTCTAGCCTATCCAAGTAACTACCCATTTATTCCCCTGAACCTAAATGATTTGGTAATAGTTGTTAAATTACCAAGTTGCTGTCTGAGTGTTTTGACATCTCACCACAAACATTTCCAGCTTCTGGCTTATTTCGTTTATTTTTGCCTTTGTTTTTCTTTCCTCAGGTTTAGGTTTGCAGTGACTAGAGTGGGTCAGCCTCATGCCCTATATTCTTCCTGACTCAAACTTTGCCCATGGCATGAATACAATCTCTCCAGGTCTCCTTTTAACATCCTTTTCTTCCCCTTAGAGACTAGCATTTTATTTATTTTAATATCACCAGAGGGTGTGTGCGTTTCCCACAAAAAGAGAGCGAGGAGGAGGAAGGGAGAGGGAGAAAGTACCCCACAATGAAACATGGTAACACTGCAGTCTCTTCCCCTCCATTTCTCCATCCTGTCCAGGGCACACCTGCACAGGTGCCCAGCGTGTTTCTCAAGTTGCCAGGGCTGGGATCTGAACCACTGTTGACCATGTAGGGTCCAGTTTCCTCAACCACTGACTATCAAGCTGACCTGCCCCAGGTCTCTTAAAACATGGATGATCATCCCGATCTCACAAGGTTGTCTCAGCAGTCTTTGTAGTGTAATAGGTACCCGGAACATAACAGGTACTTAATCCGGTTCTTGGATCATAGTAGGTACTCAATAAACTTCCTTTTCCATTCCTTCTCAAGCAAACACACATGCAAATCCAATCAGAATTGACAATTTGGGGCATACATATTCCAGAGACAGTAGTTTTAGAAACACATGCAAGAAATAATGTCACCAAAACTGATAAGGGACAACAGACCAAGTAAATCTGTCTTTGAGTATTTATGCTTGAATTGCATTTAACATCACAAAACCTTGAGAAATCATGGTTGCTCTATTGCCAATAAGACTGAAAAAAAAAAGGTATTTTTGTCCATTTCAGTTACTATAAGATGATCTGAAGAAAAACAAATTTGGAACATTGGTTGTGTTTTGGTTTATTTAAAATACGTGCCTTAAGGTAAAAGAGAAAAAACTCCTTTTGAGCCTACCAATGTGTTCCAGTATGAGTAGGAGCAGAATACATAAGTGAGAGTATCTTTAGAAAACATTATTTCCTTCACTCTTTGCAAACTCGAAGCACTCCACGAGTTCTAAGCGTTCGCACCTTTGCAGCAGCGACACTGACTTAATAGACGTATACCCGCTTTCTGAGGAGTTGGGTATCCTCCCCAGCAGTGTTACTGTAAGGGGGGTCGTGTTTTCTCTTTTGTTCAGTTTGATGGAAGCCATTCTCAATAGCACCCCTGCTCTCTCAGTTTCAAGTTCACCTTTCTTTTCCTCAAGAGGGAGCACTTAATTTCCATCCTGGGATGGGGATTTGGAATTCTGTGTTAAGATTTCTTTGCTGTCAAAATCTGGGAACACAAGTATAACGATGGGAAGGGGGCGCTGGCGTTTTACTACAATCAGGGTTTTATTTAACCTGCTTTTCCAGAAGACTGCACACGACGATTCCAGCCACACCTACTTAGGCGAGCCCCAACCCGAGGCTGGCTGAAGTGCTCAGAGCCTGCCGCAGAGAGAGGGGAGGAGCGAGGCCTCCTCCCGCCGGGTCCAGCGTGACCCAGGTCGGTCCGCGCCGCCGGCTGCAGCCAGGTGCCAATCCGCCCAAGCTCTCTAAAGGGAGGAAGAGTGACAGAACGCTGCGACCGAGGGATGCAGTGTTTCTCCAATTCGTTCACCTCCCTCCCCCCGGAAATGCTCTTACCTAAGGAAGGGGTGGGGGTCCTGTTCACCAAATCGCTCTCTTGCCGGGACAGCCCAGCACCCTTGACCCGCGGGTGGAATCAGACACTCTAGGTAGGGGCGGGGCCGGGAGCCCGCCCCGGCCAGGAAGGGGAAGACCACGCCCCTTCGTTTGCATACGCTAATCAAGGCTTCCTGTGTCCTTTTAGCCTGAGGATGCAATACAGGTCTGAGGTCCGGTTTGTCCTGTGGAATTCTGTATTTGGCTTGAGCAACTTAATCAGTTGACGCTAAATATCAAAGTAGTAAAGCAGGATGTACTGAATCCAGAATTGATCATTTGCTCTATTTATAAATGTTTTTCCCAATGAATCCATTTAATTCTCCCCAAAATCTTAAGGGAGGAGCACTGCTATGGTCTTTGTTGCAGAGAGGAAAGTGAGGCAGAAGGCAGTAGGCCTAGTAAACAGAAAAGCCTGGATTTTAGTTGATGGATCCTGGCTTCAGAGCCAATGTTTATAATCACTGTGTATTTTTTAGTATTGGAAAGGGTAGGATGGTTTCCTGGTACTTTGAAATCTTCTGATTAAAAATAGTTCATATGTTAAAGTATATTTATTAAGCAGAATTTTTAAAAAAGTGTTATAAATTTTTTATTAAATCAGAAATAAATTTTAAATTATTTTTTTCTGTTTGTTTGTGGAAATGAAAAACCTCTCCTAAAGGTACACACAGCTTGGTTTCTAATAGCTACTAGCAGAAGTGAAATTGATTAAGATTTACCCAAATGGCTTGGAGCTCTGTCCTACTGGTTTGGACTTTTCACTCATGCTTTTTACTTGTGAAAAGTCTTCCTGTAAATTACTGAGTGGCACCGTGGGTGCAGAGTACCTGTTTCACTGAGCCACAGGGGCCCTTGCAAGTTGCTGGGTCCTTCTAGAGAATGTTGTGAAATTCCTTAAAGGTTGAAGGAATCTTGATTCTCTCCATACCTCTAGACAAGAGGTGACCTCAAATCAGATCTTGAAATTTTACATCTGTTTCACTGACATCTCATGGCCATAGTCTAAATCAGAGAAAGATGGTGAGGAATTCATTCATTTATAGAAGCATAAACTGGTATATGTGCAGAGATCTGGGTTGGATTTTATGGGATCTAGTGGTGAAAGGGACTGGGTGGGGTAATAGAATGCAAGAGGTTGGCCAAGTATAGATAATTGTTGACTTAGGTGATGGTTCTTAGATATCTATTGTATTATTTTCCACTTTTTATCAAGTATATTTGATATTTCCCATAATAAAAACATGCTTAAAAGTCATGAATTTATTCAAGTTATTTATTGAGTTGAGCATCCTTAATCTGAAAATCTACAGTTTGAAATGCTCCAAAATCTAAAAAGAAGAGAAAAATAAGGAACGCTCTAAAATCTAAAACCTTTTGAATGCCAGTACTACAAGTGGAAAATTCTACAACTGCTCTCATGTCACAAAGCCATAGTCAAAATGCTGTAGTACAAAGATATAGTACAAAATCACCTTTATTAGCTGACCAGCAACTACAGCCTGAGGCTCGGGGGCCAAGAGTCAGAACTGGAGTGCCAGCCAAAGTTTGGGGTAGCCTCTTACAGGGGTTGGTTGCCAGGTATGCAGGATTCTCACGCGAAAACAGTTACAGAAGCTGAATCAAGCAGGTTAATTATTTATGAGGGGACTGAGGTTTCTATGCAACCAGTTACATTGCTAAACAAAGGGGTTTTGAGCTAGTTAGCAAAGGCAGTAGCAGGTACAGGATGTTGTCCCAGGTGCGGTTTTCTGTATGGCTAGCATGAGCTATTTTCTCATGGGAAGAGCAAGCAGGTTTCCAGAAGCAGACAGCCATGTTAGGGTAAGGGAACAAACTGGACAAATAGTTGCTCTGTGCAAATAGTTGCTTATGTGGCCTTCTACAAATTCTCTCTGTAAAAAAAAGTGTTGTTATGGAAAAACAAAAAACAAAAAGAACAAAATATAGATCAAGTAGACTTGTAGATTTGATAGAGAAGAGGATGGAGACTAGGGCCCACGACTTAGAACTTTAATGTCAAGAAAGAATCTACAGGAAAGGGAGAACACAGAAGCTAGGAAAGAAAGGAGCAGCAGTGGGGGATAGGGTGGAGGGTGAAGAAGCTTATTAGGAAGGAGGGAGTGATCAGTTGTGTCAAATGTTACTAGGAGGCCAAACAAAAAGCCCTGTGGAAAGTGTGGTCAATTTACCTAGAAAATAAGTTGAGGATCTCTTGTAGTGATACTCAACCATGTGGCTATACGAAGTACACAAACATCTGTGTGGAGGGCCAACCGGGTGATGTGGTGGTTAAGGTGGCTAGGTCCTCCACAGCTGTCTGTGGGGTTTGAGTCTCAGACCTGGTAGCTTGAAAAGTGTGCAGCATACCACATGTGACTTTCCAGCCAGAATACACTGTAAAGTGGGTTAATCACACATTTTATCATCAACACACACACATATGTATATATATATTTTCCCCCCTATTCATTCTCTGCCATTTCCCATCTCCTCTCATCCTGCCTCTGGTTTCTACAGTTGCTTTCCATTCCTTTATTCTTTCTCACATTGTATTGATTCACAAAATATCTTAATTAATCTAAATATTTTCAATAGTAAGTTCAGCTGATATCTATCTATCTATCTATCTATATATATACACATATTTGTGAACAAAAGTTGACTTTAGGCATGAAACTCTGTGGGTAGAATGAATATACTATAAAATAGCACATAGCTGAAGCTATATAGCTTACTGTGGTCACTAAATGGGTATTTTTTAAATACATTTTTTAATTTCAAGAAAGGCAGTTTTAGCTTTAATAAATAAAAATAAAAAAATGTTAAGAGAATTTTGCTTAGTTCTTAAAGCCAGGAAACAGGTTAGGATTCTGGACCAGTCCACAACTTGAAAGAAGACAAAACTCCTTGACACTGGCAAACAAAGCATAGAAGGTGAGTAATGTTCTAGTCAAAAGTCAGAACATTCTATTTCACCAGTTTAAACTCACGTTCTTTATCTTCTGTTGTGGTGCGATCTTTCTGTTTAAATTCTGGAAGGTAACGCTCAGCTCTGGACTTGTCCCTACCATTAAGCTGGCCATTTTCTTATTTGTTTTAGAACGCTTACATCTGTGTCTCTGACTTTACTTTTCCTGGTATAGCACTCACTTCAGAACTTCTTGAAGAGCTCGTCTGGTCTTGGTAAATTCTTTCAGGTTTTATTTATCTGAGAATGTTCTTGTCTTTTCTCCCCATATGGAGGATAATCTTGCTGGATATAGGATTCTTGGTTGAAATTGTTTTTCACTCAACAGTTTGAATATATTTTCCCATTCTTTCCTTGCTCGCAATGTTTCTGATGAGAGGTCCACTGTTAGCCTGATGGGATATCCTTTGTAGGTAACTTGATGTTTCTCTCTTGTCAGTCTGAGTATCTTGTCTTTGTGGTTTTAGTCATTCTGGCTACAATGTGTCTTGGAAAAGATCTTCTTGGGTTGATCCTGTTTGGGGGGTCCTTTGAATTTCTTGGGTCTGGATCTTTGAATGCTTCTCTAGGTTTGGGAAGTTTTCTTGCAGGATATCATGGAATAGATTCTCAATACTCTTATTAGTCTCTTCACCTTCTGGGATACCAATTATTCTTATTTTTGGACGTTGAATGGTATCTATTATTTCTCGTATATTATTCTCATTTTTGGGGGTTGTTTTTTCAGTCTTCATGGTGGATTTTACTAGTGCAGTGAGTCTGTCTTCAACATCTGAGATTCAATTCTCTGTATGATCTAGTCTGCTTTTAATACTTTCAAAGGGGGACCATCAAATAAATAAATAAATAAATAAATAAATAAATAAATAAATAAATAAATAAAAATACTTTCAAAGGAGGTTTTGACTTCCTGTATCTCTAACAGCCTTCATCTCTAACAGTTCCATTTGATTCTCTTTTATGTTGTATATTTCCTCTTTCAATTCTTGCAAGAACGTCCTCACCTCCTGGAACTCATTGATTTTTTTTTCCTTCTGGTACTCATTGTTTCTCTTCTCTTCCATCTCTGTTAGTTTTGTCACTATGACGACTCTAAATTCTTTATCAGACATTTCCATGAGTTCCATTGTACTGTCTATGGATGAAGAGGAGTTATTCTTTTTCCTTGGGGGTGAGGTATTTTCATGGTTTCACATATTTCTTGTGCCCCTGCAGTGATTTCTAGCCATCTGACAAGTATTCATTTCTTCCTAATTTCTAGAAGATCATTCTGAGCGATCAGAGGCACACAGGAGGATGTGGTCTGCAAACTCTTTGGTGTTGCATTTTTCTCCCTTTGTGTCACAGATTCAGTGGGAGTTGAGGAATATGAGGACCCAAATAGTATTCGGAATTTGGCAACTTTTCACTCAGACTTGTCTAGACACTCAGTGGGGGAAGGCTTAGCCATGAAGTGATGAGGTAAAAGAAAAAGGATAAGAAAACAGAGAAAGAAAAAAAAAAGAGAGAAAAATGGAAAAAGGAAACAAACAAAATTATTTATTTGTTGTTTTAGAAAACAAAAAATGAAAAACACATGCTGCGCTTGCATGCCAGGCGAAATCACTAAATCTCAGCTCTCGTGGAGGACTCAGTCTTCTGGCCTGCCCTTTCTGTTTGCCTAGATGAGAGGGGACAGGGGAGGGAGATTTCAGAGCCAAGAAAAAAACTTTACCTTAAAAAAATTTTTTTAAAAGAAAAATAAAAAAATGAAAAGACAGTGACAGAGAGGCAGAAAGAGACAGAGAGAAGGAGACAAGGGCTCTCCCAGGGTAAATTCTCAGCAGAACATCTTCATTGCTCTTATCGCTGAAATCACTAGATCTCAGCTCTCATGGTGCACTCAGTCTCATTCTCAAGTCATAATTTTTTTAGACATTTATACTGTATATATAGACATAGAAACTCTTATTAGATGCCAATCAATTTTGAAAAAGTTCAGGTAGAGAAAGAAGCAATCATTTTTCACTAAAACCCTTTTAATTTTTTTCAATTACTGTTTGATCTGCTCTTATGTAGCAGAA